ATCGACTTCTTCCAGGGCTGTCACCAAGCCAATATTCGACTCAGCGTCGTTGGTATCTTTCTTATCTTGCTGCGAAGCAGGGCGATAGCGGCCAGCCCGACCTCCGATTTGCTTGATCTCGGGAACCGACAGCCTCACTAACCCCCCCGGAACCCTTTTAACTAAAGTCTCGAAGATAATGCGCTTGATACTCCTGTATCGTGGTTAGCAAAGTCCCATATGATAGAGCGCAAATCAGTGCTTACAAGTTGAGCCCCATGCCGATAGCATCACTCGCAACCAGGAAATCGTAATCGTTGTCGGGGTCATTGAAAAGTTTGGCCTGCTGCGTACGAATCTCAGCTGGCAAGCTCCCGTACACAATCGCCGCTCTTCTGCCTGTAACTTTCTCAATATCTGCTTTCAGTGCGTGGATCCCGACGCGGGAGAAAGCGACCAGGCAGTCTCCTTTTTGAAGATTCTTCAAATCACCTCGAATACTCTGATCCATGACTTTGAGGGGGTTTAGTCGCTTGTACCGATGGATCTCGAGTCTGTCACCTGTGAGAGCCGCAAGCTCTCGAACCAAGGGCACCACTCTTGTTTCGCCACAAAGATGAAGTTCCTTAGCCCGCGCACCAAGGACGGCGCGAGTCCACGCCCAGCCACGTTTAGGGTCCGCGAGCATCTGAATCTCATCGATGACTCCGACGTCATACGGCTGTCCTAGATTGACCATTTCAACTGTGTTGCTGACAATGGCCGGAGTTTGCCCCTCCGGTATTTTAACATCGTCCCCCGTCACAAGGCTACAGGGGATCCCGCTCCCCTGAAATCGATGATACACCTCTTGCGCAAGCAGTCTAAGAGGCCCAGCGTAGAAGCCACTTTTGGAAGCTTGAAGCCGTTGTAACGCATGATAAGTCTTCCCAGAATTCGTTGGGCCAACGTGTAGGTGGATTGTCCGTTGAAGTGCCCGGGCTTGAGGGTACCATTCTGCAGGATAGCGCAAATCGGCAATCTTCTTCTGCTGTTCCAGACGGGGAGCAGAATACTTTTCAGTAATCTCTTCGGCGTGCATAAGATACCTCAGCTCACTCCTCAGACCCGAAATACCCGAGCTGAGATAGGCTTTCTGAAGTGCGGTTTTGACATGGCGTAGAGGCCCAAAAGCTTTCTGGCCCGACCGGTCTTCCAGCTTGCAGGCATTCATCACATAGCGCTCGAATCTTTCCCATCCTGCCAAGGCCGGATCGGATGACTCTTTTAAGCTCTGCTTGTATTCTCCTAACTCGGACTCGACAATGGAGGCGAAGTCGCGAATGACAAAGGGTTGACTCAGAGGTCTACGGGCGAGTGACCTCTTTTTCGAAGACTGTACGGCAAAAAAAGGAATCAGCAACCTTGTCAACAATGAAAGAGTACAAATGACGGTATATGTTAGGATCTGTTACGCTTTTCTTTAAAGATTGCTCTACTGCCTCGGCCTTTTCTTGCTTAGCTTTCTGAGACTTTCTTGCCTTCTCCACGATGGGGCTCGTCGAGAAAGATCGCTGCGCGGGACGAAATACTGGCCGCAAGGCACAGAAAAGGCAGCGGCTGCCTTTGCTGGTCCATGACTGCATTCCTTGAGCAGCTCGAAAGATATGTGAGGCGACAGAAGTTGTTCGAAATGGCTGAGAAGCTAGGTAGCGTCGCACCTGAATCGTCGCGGCTCGTACATATAGTAGTCGAATTGGAAGAACAGCAGGCGAAATATCTTCAATGGGTTGTGAAACAAGCGTATGGTAGCACTGATCCCAAGCAAACTATGAGAATATTTGTAACGACATCTTTTTTCATTCGGATGGCTTATCGAGAAGATAATAATAATTTGATACTGTCCAAAACTCCAGTGAACCCACCGCCACACCGCATCGGCGATCCACCGCGGGTTTCATTCCATCCACCAGCAATTCCAAGCTTGCCGCTTTAGAGCGATGACGGATAGTATAGTGGGGACACTGAGGGGGTTCCTGAAGACTGAAGTCAACTGATACGTTTCAGAAAGATAGGCTTCGCTTTTGATTAATTCAGTTGAGTTTGGCTCCTGTTGTTCCTCGTGGATTGTCACTTATTTTGTTTCCCTCCTGACAATCCAGATTGTCGCAGCAAGCTGCAATTACTACTACTAGAGCCGGCAATCGCCTGCCTGACTGCACAGCTAAGGCTGCCAGCCAGCCAGGATGAGCTCTTCAATTATCAACATCCAGCGCGATGGTCAGTTTCATAATCTATGTCTTTAAGGCCAAGTATGTTCCTGTTACTGACTGTTTGCTATTCCAGTTATCCTTAACACGATTCGTCATGCGGGAGGCAATGAAGTGCGATGAGCCCCTCTCTACAGTATACTAGGATGTATGACGGAGCTGACGGTTGCCGCTTGCAGTGGAAAGTCTTGGTTGTGGACGAGACTAGCAGGAAGTTGATATATAATGCGACCAACGATGATGATATTCTCAACCTCAATGTCACCAGTAAGCCTATACACGGCGCTCCAGCACAAAAGCGCATCGACTAATAGTCCTTCCTCAAGATGTCGAGCAGATCGAGCATAGGCGACCACCCAATCCCGACATGGATGCGCTGTACATCCTGTCACCTCAAACACACATCGTCGACTGCCTTATGGCCGATTTCGAACGGAAAAGATACAGGCGAGCATGGTTGGTCTGGACGTCAGGTAGTCATTTGTTCTGATCCGAGACTGGACAGTGTAATCTGACATTATTTGCAGTCCTCGATCCACAGCAGCGCGCCAGGTTGGACAGGTCTCAGATGGCGCGCGAGCAGATTGCCGATTTCCGGATCATGAACATAGACTTCTTTCCTAGAGAATCGCGTCTAGTCACCTTCCGAGATCCCTGGAGCTTTCTCGTTCTGTTCCACCCTGGCTGCAATCACCTGATTCGAGGACACTTGCAGGATCTAGCGCAGAAGGTGACTCGGCATTGTGAATCTTTCTGAGCGTTATACTGACTTTTGTCGAGGTTGTATCACTGTGTGTGAGTTTAGGAGAGTACCCGATTATCCGATACTACCGGCCTAGAGCTCCTACCCACGAAGCCAGCGTCTTGTGCTCCCACCTCGCTCGATTCATTCAGAACGAACTGGACCAGTTCGCTCAATCTCAGAGAGACTTTCCTCCTCCTTCGCCGAGACCTCGCGGTGTTCTTCTGCTGGCAGACCGCTCTATGGATATGGTTGCCCCCCTCATCCACGAATTTACATACCAATCAATGGTGCATGATTTGCTACCTATAAAAGACGGGGATAAGGTCACCTACGCCACTGTTATCAACACTGGCAGTGGCGGCGAGGAGAAAAAGGACATGGAGATCAATGAAGAGGACAATGTTTGGGTTGAATATCGGCATCAGCACATGAAAGATGTGTTGGAGAAGCTGGGTCGAGACTTTGCGAAATTCAGGGAGGCCAATCCTCAGTTCGCGGAAGAGTAGGTGACGTCTGAATTTCTTCCTCTGACCTATGACTTTGTCTTTGATTCAACGCCTCCCGAAGTTGAGCCGGATCCAATTGGCATATGCTGACCTCTACTATAGTAATGACAAGGCCAACGTGAATACGATTAAGGACATGCTCGCGGGCTTAACGGAGTTCCAGAAAGGTCGAGATGCATACACGCTTCATCTTAATATGGCAGAAGAGTGCATGAAATTCTTCCAAGACCATAAGCTCTTGGAAGTCAGTTCAGTTGAGCAATGCCTTGCGACTGGTCTAGACGAGAACTATAAGAAGGCAAAGAACCTGGCTGCACAGCTTGTTCAGCTCCTCGATGATGATGCGGTTGTGCGCCCGGACAGACTGAGACTTCTGCTCCTCTACATTATGTATAGGGGAGGTGTCTTGGCAGGCGACATCCGGAAGCTCATCGCACACGCCCAACTAACACCGCAGGACGGAGAAGTCGTTTCCAATCTTGATCTACTTGGCATCAGGGTAGAGAAGCCACTGAAGGACGACAAGCAACCTGTCCAGCCGTTATTCCCAAGGAAACATCCGGCTGCCACCGAGATGGACGAAGCCAGCCTTTCTCGATATGAGTTGAATGTCAAATTACTGCTAGAAGAACAGGCCCGAGGCACATTGGATCCTGCACTGTTCCCCTTCACCCGACCTCATACCACAGCGGATGGCATGGCACAGCAGGATACTCTAGCGCAGGCGTCTTTGCGAAGCGCCAAACCAACGTGGGCGAGGACCCGCGGTTCTGCCGAGCAGCCACGGCAACGAATCATTTTGTTTATGGCTGGCGGCGCTACATATGGGGAGTCGCGCGCCTGCTATGAAGCGTCGCAGGTGTTTGGGAAAGACGTATATTTGGCCACATCCCACATGCTAACGCCAAACTTGTTTTTACGGCAAGTCAGCGATCTGAGTGCAGACCGAAGACGCCTAGACATTCCTGCAGAACGGCCCAAACCCACAGCGCCTGCTCATCTGTTTGAGAAAGATCCTCCTCCCCCTCCACCGGTGCAACAACAGCCTGCAGCCAAGAAAGCACCACCTCCCAACCTCAACCCTCCAGTGCCTACAGCCGTTATGCATGCGATGTCACTGGGATCCAACGCGCAGAAGGCCCCCAGCGGAACGCCGTCAGCCAGCTCCAAGCCCCATAAGGAAAAGAAAGAGAAGGAAAAGAAGAGATTGCACTTCTTCCGGTAGAGTGTTTCTCAGGAGCTTTCCCTGAAAGACCTGATAACCGTGATTGCCATTCTCCTTTCCATTCCATTTAGCGCTGCTGTGATACCATCTCATACTGTGTTTCTGGCGCTGAATGAACATACCTTGATCTTTGTCTTCAGCTGACTTGTATGATAATGCTTTATAAACTAAGCAGCCGTGTAATGTACTATCTGCGCTAATTCTAATTATCAATCGGGGTATCATATAGTAGAAATCAGATTCTATCCGCATAAAAAAAAGGCCAACCCCAGTCCCATCATGTATCCCAAACCAACCTATGCACCCCCACTCAGGTACCGTTGCACATCATCATTCTGATAGAACATCTCCCGCAACTTCTCGCCTCTCCTCTTTGCGTCAAAATGCCCCTTTCGCACCTGCTTCGCATTCAACCTCTGCACCTTGGCCGGAGGAGCAGTAGCAGCAACTACCCTTTTCTTCCCCTTCGCACTCGGCTCGACCTTAGCCCCCAGCCCCACAGTATCAACTTTCAGTCTTCCCTTAAGGGGCTCCCTAATTCCCTCACGCCCCGGAGCCCCTAGACCCAGTCTGCTATCCGGATCCCAACCATAAGCGGACAAATACCGGAGTCCGTGACGGGTGCGGTCGAGATGGGACGGTGGATGCGAGTGAGATAGACACAGCTGATGCGCGAGCGATGCTTCGTGTGGCCGAGCAAGGCCTTTCTCATCTGTACCTGCTATTTCCCCGTAAAGCGGAAGATTGCACACCTCACATCGTTGAACCGGAGCGGGTACGGCGGAGGGCGAGGGCGGCGCGGAAGCTGTTTCGTTGCGCGCGGCGGGTTCTGATGTTTGGCCGGGTGATTTTTCTTTCGGTAGGACGATTGAAAGGTATTTATCGGCTGGACTTAAGCCGGAGGATGTGGATTGGGGTGTGGTGGTGGTTGTGGTTGTTGAGGTGGTGGTGGTGTTTAGTTCATGTTCTGAGGAGCGGACGAACTGCACGCGCTTGCGACGGATTCCCGCGCCGAAGATGCGCTGGTCTTCCAGCGGAAGAAAATAATCCTCATCGTCGCTGTGGGACATACTTCGTCAGGAGCTTGGTGCCATCGAAATGTTGATGTGACTCGTGAGGGGAAAATGTTGGTAATCTAAGATGTTGGCGGTGGTGGCGGGAGATCGGCCGCTATCTGACTTCTGACGCAGCTCCGGCTGCTGTTTTTAGTGTTTCAACGGGATTGCATTCCAGAACCTCTTCACTCTTTCACTCTTTCATTTTGTTGGTTTTTGTTTTCCATTCGCTCATTTACTACCGGGTTACACAATGCCCATCCCCATTATTGTTCAGGGGATCCGGGAGGGTATAGACTCGATTCCATATGCCTACACAGTTCTCAAGATTGCGCCATGGGTGCTGCTCGTCGCTGCCCTCAAGTACTACTTTGGGGGAGCTCGGAATGGCTCAGAGCGGGTCATGCACTCGAAAATTATTATGATCACCGTAAATTCGCCATGGCCCTTTCGTTTCATCAAGTATTCTAACTGATACAATGCTCTAGGGAGGGACATCAGGCATTGGCGCCAGCGTCGCCCGTGAGCTTGCATTACGCGGCGCCCAGATCATCCTCCTCACCCACCACTCCCCCTCAGACATCTTCCTGATCGATTACATCGAAGATCTACGCAAGTCAACAGGCAATCAACTCATCTTCGCCGAACAAGTCGACCTCTCCTCCTTACATTCCATCCGGACCTTTGCGACCAAATGGATCGACAATTATCCCCCCCGACGACTCGACATGGTCATCTTGTGCGCTAGCACCGCCTTGCCCGCCTCCAGCCGGGGACGAATGACAATAGACGGCGTGAACGAGGAGTGGCAGGTCAATTACCTGGGTAACTTCCACCTACTGAGCATTCTGAGCCCCGCGCTGAAAGCGCAGCCCGCTCATCGAGACGTGCGGGTCATTTTCACCACATGCTCGAGTTATATTGGCGCGAAACTCGACATCAAGCAATTGGAGGCGGTGACCAGTGGTTCTAAACCGGCAGGGCAATCAACGACCAAAAAGAATGGAAAACCACAGAAGAAGGCATCCACGGAAAAGGAAGCCAGCCTATTCGGCCTGAGCAAACTCGCTCTGATGATCTTCGCAAACTCCTTCCAGAAACACTTCAACGCATATCAACGTCCAGACAAACAGCCGAACGCTACCCGCATTATCGTCGTTGACCCGGGCCTGAGTCGAACTCCGGGAACCCGTCGCTGGCTGACGGGTGGCTCGCTCTGGGGTCTGCTTATCTACCTTCTCACCTGGCCACTGTGGTGGCTTATCCTCAAGTCTCCTCAGCAAGGTGCGCAGAGCATCTTGTATGCGGCCATGGAGGCGCGATATGGCCGTGGCGCCGGCGGGTGGATGGTGAAGGAATGCCGGGAGGTTGATTTCTCCCGAAAGGATGTCAAGGATGAGGAGCTCGCGAAGAAACTCTGGGAATTCAGTGAGAAGCAAATTGAAGCGAAGGAGAAGGAGGGTGCACTCAAACGTGCTCAGACTAAGGCGAAGGAGAAGGTCACGGACAAGGACAAGAGTGCAAAGCAGCAAAATACAAAGGGCTCGTCAACAACCGGAGCTGGCGCCGCAAAGGATCAGACCTCTGGGTCCAGAAGGAGCCGTAAAGCAAATCAATAGACTACATCGAACCCTCTCAGTTAGAAAAATGTTTATAGAATTACCTTGCAATTGTGGCTTTTGCATGTGTACAGGATGAGAAGAAAAGAAAGATTAAGGGAAAACATCCAATTATTTCTGCTATGTGGATCTAAATCGAAGGGATATAATATAGATGTCACCAAGAAAAGGAAATTCGTATCTTTCTGTCTACAATACCTCGTAAAGTGTAAGCCAATGCGCTCGGGCACTTTTCCAGTCTTTCTCGCTCGCAGAGAACCTTTTAGACCCTTATTTTCATTCGCAATGATTATTTACTTCTTGAGCTGTTCCAGCAGCTCGGCGGGGGGCTGTTGACGGTAGCCCTGGGGGTTGTTCTTGGTCCAGCGCCAGAGGTCCTCGCAGGCCTGCTCGAGGGTACGCTGAGCCTTCCAGCCAAGCTCCTTGTTTGCGCGCGTAGGGTTGGAAGTGAGGTTGAGAACGTCACCAGCGCGACGGGGGGCAACCTCATAAGGAAGGTCACGGCCAACGGCAGCGGAGAAGGCGCGGATCATCTCATAGACGGTGCTGCCCTTGCCGGTACCCAAATTCCAGGCGCGGACGCCGGGGTTGTTGGCACGCAGGTAGTTGAGGGCCTTGAGGTGACCATCGGCGAGATCGAGAATGTGGATGTAGTCACGGATAGCGGTTCCGTCGTGAGAGGCATAGTCTAAGCTTGCGTTAGCATAGTCCACTAGTCTTTCACACCTTGGATATCGAAATTGTGCTGCGAAGACATACCGTCACCGAAAACGAGCAGCTTCTCACGCTTGCCGGTAGCCACCTGAGCAAGAAGAGGGAGCAGGTTGTAGGGGACGCCCTGAGGGTCCTCACCCATGATGCCACTGGGGTGAGCACCAGCGGGGTTGAAGTAGCGAAGGAGGGCGGCGTTCCACTTCTGGGCCTCATCCTCCTTGCCGGCCTTGGTAGCATTGTTGCGCTGAGCGTTGATCACGTCGGTGATGGCGGTCTCAACGGCAAACTTGGTGTTTCCGTAGGGGTTGGTGGGGCCCAGAGGGCACTCTTCGGGGATGGGGATCATGTTGGGGAAGCGGGTGGCATCACCGTAGACGGTGGCAGAGCTGGAGAAGACAATGTTGGTGACATTGTGGCGGACCATGGAGCGAAGCAGGCAGATAGTGCCGTAGACGTTGACCATGTAGTAGTCCAATGGCCTTTCGCCGGACTCGCCGACGGCCTGAACCAGACGACCACACGTGAGCAATTAATTGATCGCAATACACTCTCAGAAAGAAACAGAATATTTACCTTCAGAGCAGCAAAGTGAATGACACTGTCAATGTCGGGGTGGGCCTCAAAGACCTTGTCGAAGCCAGCCTCATCGGTGACATCCAGCTGAACGAAGTCGGCCTTCTTGCCGCAGATCAATTCGATCCGTTTCAGAGCTTCAACGGAGGAGTTGTACAGGTTGTCAGTAACGACGACCTTGTAGCCAGCCTCGAGCAAAGCGAGGGTGGTGAAGGAGCCAATGTAGCCAGTGCCACTGTGGGTAGACGCAAGGTACGGAGTCAGCAACCTAGGCTTGCTGATAGGTGGGGGGATAAGGTGAGCTATCTTGACTGTTGCTTACCCCGTAACAAGAACTGAACCAGCAGACATTATGATGACGAGAGAGATTCAATTGACTGGGATAAGAATACAACAAACTAGCAAAGATGACAGTCGCAGAAAGAATGAGATGGGGTTAAATTAGAAGAAAGCAGAAGAGCAGGGAGGAGGAAGCAGGGGAATCCCGACGGGGCGAGGGGCAGCTGGAGATTTAAGGGGAAGACCAGCTTATTATGGTGGGGGTACTGCGGACTGCGGACTGCACTCTCCCAAACCCAGATCATCTCTGAACCACTACACCGACAGCTGTGTCTTATTCTTATCCAATACGAGGTAGTCGCTATCTATTACTGCCTTTCATTCCTTCTTCGTCTATTATCCCCCGAGTCGGACACTGCCTGAGTCCTTCAAGCCATGTTCCGCATAAGAAGTAGTATCATCTCCGAGTGATTTTCATTCGTTGTTGATCGACAAAATCCAGCGGCACAGCCAAAACCAACTACGCGGCGCCACGATAGTACGATCGGCTCTCTAATTGACTCTACTGGTGCGTGCATACGTATGACAGTCAGCCAAGAGTTTGATTTCATCTGCCTGAATAGACCAGCAGGACAGGATACGGATGCATGCTGCACAGTACGCATATGCAAGAATCAAGAATTGACCGTTGGCAACCGAATTCGATCGACATCTTGCATTCGGCCAGGTCTTTAGGAATCCATTCGGTTCATTATCGCTCACATTCGGGATGTCAGCTGCGAACCGGACCCTAGATATATCTGTGACCGGCTTGGCTTGCAAGCCTGCAAGAAGGGATTCCCGGGGAGAGCAACCAAGCAATTCGGCATTCGTCGCGAACAATCCGAGAGAAATCCGTTGTGCCAACTAGCTTAAATATTGAGGTCTACCAACCAGGCAACCGGTGTCACTGTTTGTAGGTTGCCAGCTGTTGTCTGTTGGACGATGAACTTCGGAACTGAATTGGAAGCGGGTCCTGTTCCGCTTGAAGGTGGACCAACTTGGCAGCTTCGACCATTCTAAGCAGACAATCTAAGGGTCTAATCTCCAGAACCAGTCAAAAAGGTTGATGCGAGCGCACAATGCCCCTTGCCCACTGACCGCTAAGATGGCCACGTTCCCGACTACATAAATTTCAGTCTGAAGATCCCTACATAGTATTATAATAATGGATGATACACATGTCTGGCAAACGCATGGAGTTTAGCGCAGTATTCCGCCATCATTGTTACCCTTTTACGAAATTGTATGTAGAATAAGAGTATCTGATGTTGATGAACTGAAAGTTGTGTAGCGCTGACGACAAAATATGGCACTAGGAGGCGCGCAATACGCAGTACTCAGTAGAGAAATGAGCATGAATAAGAGTACGTTGAGTTGTAAATCCCTTTTTCCAGTCGCAAAGATACATGAGCGTGGAAAGTCTCTTCAGATATGTGCGTTTTCGACACCCACTTGAAGTAAAAGTGGTAGAATTGCAAGGGGGTCAAGAAACCCCTGTCCCTGCTCGGGTGTCATCCACTCCTGCACCCTGGATGACAAGCTCTATGACACAGCATCTGCAATGTCATGAAAGAAGTCCGTGACATGCATTGGACAATGTCACCAATTGGAATCAGCATGAATGCCAATCACACAGGACGCGCTGGGCGTGGAGTCTCCTCCTGCTCTGTAGCACGCAACCAATATGGCAAAGCAAAGAAACCGTTCATTATATAGTATTGATTTAGCCGAGAAGTTCGACATCAAGTCCAATGGCACGCATAAATAGGTTGACGTTTCCTAGTCGTTGGCTGGCCATATCGGCGGGCAGTGTCTTGCTGTATGTCACTGTTTCCATCACACGATCCCTAGAACATGTTAGCATCCGTCTGGCAGGTCGTACAAAATCGTATGGCAAACAATAAGATGTCAAGAGAAAACTCACTTCACTGCGATGACCAAGCGCTGCTGCTGCTCAGGGCTCGCTCCGATGCCAACAGCTGCCAAAAACTGCCAGACATACATATCGTCGCCAGCGTTAATCGAGGCGGGGAAGATATCGCCAAAGATTGGCTCGAGTGTGTCGAACAGCACGTTGAATTTCTCAACCCATTGTTGCCAGTCACGTTCCGCAGCCTGCCCAGCTTCCTTTACAATCTCCGCACGGCTGAGCAACATAGTCAAGATTCCCAATCCAATGCGTGTCTTGGCCACTAGCTGCACGTGAGTCTGCGCAATCACAAGACCCAGAAGTCCAATAATGATGTTGAATGGTGCCTCGTTCACATATCCCAGAAGACTGGGCATGACGGCCTGCGAGAACAGATCAATGGTCTCCCTAACCGCAAGCGAAGGTTGGCTCTCGCCTGGAACAGGCTGTGCGCTTCGAACCACGTCCAAGGTGTCCAAGTGGACAACGATCATTGTGAGGATTGTGACTCGCTGTTCTTGGTCAATGTGCCGGAAAATGCGTGGAATAGCCTTCTTGCCCTTCGGATAAGACAGGAAAGCAATAAATGGATGTGGAGTGTTCGTGTTAGGAACAATAGGCTCCATGACCTTGAGTTCTTGCCACAATTTCTGGTTCAAGGAACGGATCTTCTGCCGCCATTCCAAGTGCTTCTGGATGGCTTCAGAATCATTCTCATCAGGCAGAGGGGGCATGGTGCGCTCCATGTCTTCCATCTCCATCAAAGTACTGTACATATTTTCAATGTTCATCAGGATAGACTTCCGATCACTGAGGCTCAGGTCCGTGGGTTGCTTCTTGGCAGCCTTGGCTCCGTCTGAGGTCTCGGGGCGCTTGATGTTGAGCATTGGCTTCGGCGCTTTGGCATTGCTGAAAGAGATCTTGCCCAGACTGCCCTCAATAATCAACTGCTTGTTCTTCGGTTTCGCTTTCGCCGCTTCAACTGCACGCTGAACCTGCTGCTGCATCCTTTGCATATGGTTGTCGGCACTCTGGAGATTTCTTCGCCCATGGCCACCAAGACGGTTACCGGTCTGAAGCAGGTAGGTCTGCGCAAAGTGGCCAAGAGGCTGATGCGGATGCTGCCGAGGCGCACCACGGATCTGGCTGTAAACCTGGTAGTAAAAGTCCTCCGATAAGACCGTCTCCAAGTCCGCATCCGCAACATTACCTGCGGCCGCCACAAGCTGTTGCAATTGGATCCGCGTGATGAAGTTCTTGTCTTGAGGAGTCATCAACCCATTGCCCTTTGACAGGAGGAATATCTTGTGATTGCGCTTTGCCCGCTTCGCATCCTCCATTAAATATGCCATGCGTTGTTCTTCCGTCAATTGCATTAGCTGCTGAGGGTTGGTGATCAAAGGAAGGCCGGTATTTGCCCCCTTTATAGCCTGCGGTGGCGGATGCTGTTGTGGAGGCTGCTGCACTCGTGGGGGAATCGCCTGACGCTGCGGAGGTGCCATATGTTGGGGCAGGATATTGGCATTTTGCAGGAGATGCAATGGCACATTTGGCGCAGTTGGTGGTAGAGAATATGGCTCTGGGACCATGGAGGGATGGTGCAGAAGATGTGCTGGCGGCACATCTTTGGGAAACTGGGCCTGGAGAAACTCAGGCGGCAGTTGTGAAAATGCTTCGGGAACGTTTGGCAGCTGCTGGGTCCGTTGAAGATGCGAAAGATCGGGCATCGCCATCGGCATAGAGACCGGAGGCTGGACCGGAGCAATACCGTGACTACGTAACTGAGCTTCGACTTCCTCCAAGCTTAACATTTTCTTGGCTTGCGATACAGGCTCGTGAACATGTTGGTGAACATGCTCGTGAACATGCTCGTGAACAGGCTCGTGAACAGGCTCGTGAACAGGCTCATGAACAGGCTCTGGCTTCCTTTGCAAGCCCCAGACGTTGGACTTGGCTTGCAGGTCAGGGATATATCCTGGGTCCTGGTATTTCTCATAGCCAGTACGTTTGGGTTTCTCTGCTGAGACGCTGGTTGCTGGAGGCTGAGCAGCAACCTCTTTTGCCAAGCCCCCACTAGGAGCACCCGGGTGTTGTAGATTGAAACGAACTTGCTCCTCACCGATAGCATCTGCAACCTGTGCTGTCTGCCCGAAAAAGTCGAAGTCCTTGCCGACTGAGCCTGTGCCAACGTCGCCGAACGTGTCCTCATTAAAGGCATCTTGATCATCGTCCAGCTGATCCGCTAGACCATCGTAGGTGTCCTCAAAATCGATGCTGTAAAGACCAATACGCAACTTCCGGTTAGCATTATGTCTTCAGTCATATGGCTGCGACTCAAAGTGCATAGGAGACGAAAGCGACTCACACATCATCATCGTCGTCTAAGCGTCCTGCCCCAGCACGGGCGACTTCGGCAAAGGGATCAGGAGCTTCGAAAAACCCCCTTTTTTCCCCCGCGGGAGCTCGGTCCCTCGGTAGGGTAGTATCGAAGCCGAAGAACGACATCTTCGGCTGGAGGTTGGACGGGGACAAGGTAGATTGAGGGGATGGCAAGATCTACCACGGCATTCTCGTAGTGGGATGAAGTTAGTTCGGTGCCAGTCTGATATCCCCGCTAGTCCAATTGGGTTAGTGTCAGCCAAAATACTGCCTGAGGCAGATAGTTGTCACGCCACACCGCCACAGGACACGTTTCATTGCGGAGCGAAGCGTAGCATGTCTTATTGCATGCCCTTCCAGCCTTCTGTCTTGGCGCTCAATATGATTGGTCGAAGAAACAGGCTTCCTGGCCTTCTGATTAGTCCACTTTCTAGCTCTACGATTGGCCCATGAAAACTGTTGCCACGTGCTCTCCTCTCTAAGGTACCCGTCCTTAATGCTGGACTGAAGTAGGGGTGGGGAGCCTCCCAGAGTATCTATAATTACTCTCTTAATCACTATATAATTCATAGTATTCTAGAGTCCTAATATATGGTAAAAGAGGGGTCTGGGGGGCCCTGCCTTCCCTGGTAATAATTAATGCCTTTCTTTCCTACTTATGCCCCTGAGCCCCCTCTCTCTTAGCCTTTTAGGATGGTAGATATCTACCAGCCATACCTAACTAGGCCACCTAGCATCTAATCAACAATTAGAGTAGTTTAGTTGAATATTTGCTGCTTAGCATCTGCATACTGCGCAGCTTGCTCCGCAGGCCTTAGGTGGTCGCAGACTTGCGACCGGCTACACCAGATTCCTTGATGCAAAAAAGAAAGGGATGGTCCGGATGGAGGCATAAGGGCCAAGGAAATAGGGTGCACAAGTGCAACATATTAGACCTTTTGAATACAAACAGTGTTTATTTTGAAACTGAAATGCAACAGCTCTCCATGATATCTAAAATGGCACACCTTGATCGACTTCAGCCCCAATCTGATCTCGAAATCAGAATGGATCGTCGTTAACTTCTGCCGGCCCCATACAGAGAATAGATAAGAAGACATGTCTAGATCTCTCGTCCATCCTGATAGAGCTGATCTTAACCGTGTAACATCTCTGGCATGAATCGATTCCTTCTCGTCCTGTTGTTGGCAAAACTGGTCCTACTCAAGGAAATGCAAAAGGTGTTAGTTCATCTAGACAGCCCGACGGTGGCCTTGGAATGGGTGAACAATCCAACGCTTAGCGAATTCTGCTTCGGTATGATAGGAAGAGCCGACATCGAAGGATGAAAAAGCAACGTCGCTATGAACGCAGTTATCCGTGTGGTAACTTTTCTGGCACCTCTAGCCTCAAATTTCTGAAGGATCGAAGGATCGATAGGCTACAAGAGCCGACATCGAAGGATCAAAAAGCAACGTGGGCATGAACGCTTGGCTGCCAGAATTAACTTTTCTGGCACCGCTAGCCTCAACTTTCGAAGGATCGAAGGATCAAAGGATCGATAAGCTACACGTTCATGGTTTGTATAGTATTCACACTGAAAATCAAAATCAAGGGGACTTTTACCCTTTTGTTCTACTGGAGATTTCTGTTCTCCATGAGTCCCCCTGGTTTAAGATGTGCCGCCCCAGCCAAACTCCCCACCTAACAATGGCTTCAACCCGGATACCGGGCCAAATTGCCGGACAACAGCAGTTGCACAATTACGTTACGTGGCCTGGCGTTCATGGATACCTGCTAGATAGTTTTCACTGGCGTTGCTTCAGACGGAATGTTTTCTATAGCTCATTTCACATTGATTTCAATCTTAGTCAATCACGATAATTTCTGACTTGAAGACTGGCCTGCCCCGGTCTATCAAGGCCAAGTCAACGTGGATGTCATTGTTTCACATACCCTTTTGATTGTTTAACCCTCGTTGGCGTCGCACCAAATTTGTCGGTTTTGAGAACGTAAAGACCGGTTCAGCAACTCATCGAAATTTCTTTAGTATCTTCTGGCCGCGCCTTTCCTATTCTTCTCTCGTCACTCGTTTCGATCTCGTTGATCAAAGTCACCTTCGCCCATCTCTTATACGAGCTTCCGCAGCAGGCAACGTCATCCTTCTGATCGTCAACCTTCTTCTCAGCCAGGGGTCTACTCCCCGATAGCAGAGTGAGAGATTCATCATGTCTTCGGGACCGAAATATATGAGATACTTGCTCTTTGCTGTGGTGGTTCGTTGGTCCTTGAATTTCCGCCCCCATGCCCTCTCGCAGTGCCGCTGACGCAGTACCAGGGGTTGGCAGTATTCTTCTTGATCTCTCGCAGTTCAATTCCCATCCCCGAAAATATCGGATCGAAGTTGAATCCCGCGAATTACAAAGATACCGTCTCACAATCTGACAAAGCGCACAATAACGCGCGACAAAAACCGCCGGTGAAGGAGACTCCGGAACGCCTGAATACTGCGCCAGTTGGCCGAGTAAATGCGACTTTTTTCACGCTGGCTCGCAATTCCGATGTCTGGGATATTGCGAAATCGATCCGACAGGTCGAGGATCGCTTCAACCGTAACTACCATTATGACTGGGTCTTTCTCAACGACAAGCCATTTGACGACACTTTTAAGAAGGTCACCACATCCCTGGTGTCTGGAAATACATTCTATGGTGAAATTCCAAAGGAGCACTGGTCGTACCCCGATTGGATCGATCAAGAGAAGGCCAAGAAGGTTCGAGAGATAATGGGGCAGAAGAAGATCATCTATGGAGACTCTGAGAGCTACCGCCACATGTGCCGCTATGAGTCCGGTTTCTTCTTCCGCCATCCACTGATGCTGAACTACGAGTACTACTGGCGCGTGGAACCCAGCATTGAGCTTTACTGCGATATCAGCTTCGACCCGTTCCGGCTTATGAAGGAACTGAACAAGAAGTACAGTTTCGTTCTTAGTTTGTATGAATATTACGACACCATTCCCAGTCTATGGGATAGCGTCAAGAAGTTCATTGGCAATCACCCTGAGCACATTGCAGAGGGAAATGCGATGGGTTTCTTGAGTGATGATGGAGGGAAGACATACAACAAATGTCACTTTGTAAGTTGCCGTCATTACAAGTCCTGCTGTTGCTTTTGCTGACTGATCATCTTGCTTAGTGGTCCAACTTCGAGATTGGAAGCTTAGAGTGGCTGAGATCGAAGCAATATATTGATTATTTCGATGCTCTTGACCACGACGGCGGCTTCTTCTATGAGCGGTGGGGAGACGCCCCAGTTCATTCCATTGCGGCCGGCATCATGCTCAAGAAGGAAGAGATACACTTTTTCAACGAGATTGCATACTACCACATTCCCTTCACACATTGCCCGACCAGTGAGCAGATGAGGCTGGACCTGAAATGCCACTGTAATCCTAACGAGAATTTCGATTGGAAGGGATATTCCTGTAAGTTCACTTGCCGCCTTCTTGAGACATGCATTAACCTCAATGTGTCCAGGCACATCCCGGTGGTTCCAGATCAATGATATGGAGAAGCCAGAGGGCGCTGAAGAGCAGAGTTGACTAGCCGTGCTGGGTAAAGTTTGTCTGGTCTTCATTACAGTGAGTTCTTTTGTTGGGCTGCTCTTCCTTTTCCGAGTGCGCATCGTCCATACCGCCTATCTATTCAAATTCGTCTATGATATAATACCCTCATCTTAACGATGAGTACCTATCATCTGGCGGTGGTCTGTCCTTATAGGTTATCGGCAACGCCGGCGTCAGTTCGATTACCGATAGATGTCTTCAACTTGGCCTTCTTCATGTTCTGCGCCATTCAGCTCTGTGTCCATTTAACTGCTGAGTTTCCCTACTCGCTGGTCTGGTTTTATGGACTACGTTTGTTTGGGTTAGTATATGTTTTATGGAGCATCGGAGGATATAAAAAGATGATCATTTGTGTTATGGGCTTTCTGATATCATGTCAGAGGAAGAAAATATTGGCCCATTAGCAAACTGCATCATAAAATGTACATAGCTGTTCCACGACAGAAAAGTGACGACAACCAGACCAATTGTTAAAATGAAAATTCTGGAACAAATTGTACAATGTGTGAATCGCTCATCCCTCTACTCGCAACGAAAAGTCACCACAGGACCGACTTCTGAGCTTCTAATCCTTCTTGGGCTTCTTAGTACCATATTTCGATCTGCTCGTCAACCGACTCGCAACACCACCCTGTAAATCAAGCATTAGCAACGGACCAAACCGCCAACTATATTCAAAACACCGCGCGCGACACATACCAGATCCATCGCTCCCCGGACCAAATGGTACTTAACACCAGGGCAATCCTGGGCTCGACCTCCACGCACGAGAACCACACTGTGCTGCTGAACATTGTGACCTACACACGGCAGCCACTATTAGCACAATCGCCTATCGAGTTGACAGTTGACACTCGGAAGAATCCCACCTTCACCGGGAATATATGCCGTCACTACCTTCCCACTGCTCAGCCGTACTCTTGCAGTCTTCCTCTCACCGGAGTTGGGCTTCTTGGGCTTCGTGATACCCGTCTTCAGGCAGACGCCCTTCATTTGGGCCCTGCCGATGAGCGCGGGGGATCGCGAGCGGCGCGCTCGCTGCGATACACGGCATCCGCGACGAACTTGGTTGTAGGTTGCCTGGCGGAAGGGGGAGGTGGAGAAATGACGGGTGATAGGGCCTGCGCCTGCGACTCTTGCTGCTGTAACGGCGGTGGGTGTGCGGAGGACGGGTTGAAACCGGGAGACCGTTGCCCTCGAGAAGGCCGGGATGGCTGTGAGAGAAGGCCGCTGGACTAGGGTCCGGAGGGTGCGGAGGGCGAGGGAAGAGATAAATGGTGGCATTGTGGCGGTGGTGTATGTATGGATGAAATTGAACGTCCCCTTCAACTTCCGTATCGCGGCGTTGATACGGAGTACGGGATAATTTCTCGATGATATCACGTGAGAAGAATGCATAAGCTGGCTGCCGAGATGGTTCCTCTGCGGGCCCGGAGAAGCTGGACGCGCTATGCGGTTGGAGCCTTGGCACCTTAGGCTAGTGACTATCGTAATGCTGGAGCTACCTACGATATCACCCAACTCAGCTATCACCTTGACTTCACCACCTTCGTCATACAACTTCCATCTGTCTCCTTCATAGACTAAGAAGCCTCATTTATTATAAATTTCTAAATTCAAGCTTGTCATCTGTTAAGCTACACTCCAGCATCACCACCGCCAAAATGGTATGTCCTATCCTTTTAATTGCCATGATGATTACCAGACAATCAAGCTTGCAATTCCTCGAAGACCGTCACTAACGCTCTCACAGTCTCTCCGCATAGCACCCCCGGCAAACTATGCTACGCAAGCCTCCAACACAACCACCAGAAACACCACCGCTCGCCCATCAAAAGGCGCCCCATCCGCCCCCGGTCTCCCCGACACCCTCCGCAACAAGATCACCCTCCCAGCACCCGTGGGTCCCCCCTCTAGCAACCAAACCGCCACCCCTTCATCGGCACACCCGCTCGAGGCCCGCCTACTCGCCTGGCGCCAGACCCAGGACGCCCTGAAGATGGAGACGCTCCGCCGGGCATACGGGATCGCGGAACCTGTGCGGCGCGGCATGGAGCTCAAGATCGTGCGGGACGGCACTTTCCGGCCTGCTGTGCTGGGCGGAAACAAAGGTGGTAATGTGCACGAGGACATTCTGGTTCTCGGTGGACGGGATACAGAGATTGGCTGGGAGGATATTTTCCAAGGTTCGTTGAATGTCTGGGTTTCCGCTACCGAAATAACGATGCTAATATTTTTTTGATGCAGGAGACGAATTCAGGGAGCCGCCTTCCTTCCATGATGAGATGGAGAAGAGACTGCGGGTGGATTTTTGATTGGGGGTATCGGCTTGCTCTGCCTGTTCTGCTTAATTTTCCCATGAGCCGTTACGTTTCTGATACAGTGTCAATAAAGACCTTCAGATATTAAGACTCGTTTCTCTGCGATGTTTGGCAAATTGCCCTGGAAAGCTGCACTAAGACTCTGTATGACTACATGAACTTGGGTAATTGCTGGTAAACTTCGAAAACGACTTTCATGGGTTCATTTATGTCCACCTGAGTTCTGTACATCATTCCGATTCCCAACTTGGCCCTCAGGGTGACCTAACGAAAAAGACTATGTCCTTTGAGCGATGATCAGACTATACATTGCTCTCTGAATAATGAGAATGAGGCAGTTTGGATTCTGCCAGATTGATAGCAATGTCGATTGCCAGCAACACCCTCCATAACAGTTGGGAAAGACGCTTGAATGAAAGGAGTACTTGGGGTAGTTTGGGCAAATGCCAAGAGAAAGCCGCCAGAAAGGAGAATCAGTAACCGGACGAGAGTAAACCAAAGGGCCACGGCGTTGTTGTCAGCTAAGAACGAGACTAGAGACGAATAAATGGCAAGATGGGAAAGAAGGGGGTATATAGGGACACGGATGATGGGATACAAGAAGCAATCGAAACCTGTACACATGATGCGAAACAGAAAGGTAGATCGGGAAATACAATCAGAAACCGCAAAAACCAGATGTTGAGAGCACAATCGCGATTATCCATGACGCCAGCCCTTGCGTATGGTCAGCCAATATGACAAATCAGATACCATGTATCAAAAAGAGACGAAAATGATCGAAAAGAAAGACGAGCAGATATGAACAAAGAAGCAAAGATGTGGAGATCACCAAATGCCGTCAGAAGGCACATAACCCTCCTTCAACGGTAGGAAGACTTATAAGATATCATTGGATGATACAACGACATCCAGGACTGTGGTCACTGGCCTCACGTTCCCGGCCATACGGAGCTTTGGCTGCCTTGGCGTCTTCTTCGTCGACAATTTCTTGAGGCTTGACCGTCATATGTACCACGTTGGGAGCATCTTTGTTGAACTTGCAGTCTGAGACGCAGTACATCAGCCGAAAGTCTAGAGCAGCGTCTTACGTAGTTCGTCGCCTACCTGATAAAGGGGACTTGTCATCCAGCAACTTGCCAAACGAAATCAATCGGATAGAACTTGGAGAGGTTGGTTGCGACTCCCAATCTGTTAGGCACATAAAATCATCAGCACACGGTCCAGCCTTCTTATTCTGCGTTGCGCAGTGGACGCCGACAGCTCCGCTCCCTACCTTGTCTCCAATCCTTCCAGATCAGTTCCTTCAGTGTGTATACACTCATAGCAAACGGATCGTTACTCTCGACATTGATGCCCCGCTTTCGTAAATATTTCCCATCGATCTCGAAAGGATGACGTGATCCTGTTGTTAAAAGGAGTGTGATGTTCAACGACGGGCCGGAATCCTCCACTTCCTTCGCGGCGGCGTCTGATGCGTCAGATAATGGCTCAGGGACTGGCGTATCAGTCGTATCTAGACCTGTGGTATCTGGGGGCTTGTCGTTCGTTGGAGAAGCGTCGCTGATGCTCTGCTGGGCGGTGATAATCGGCGTACTGCTATCGTGGCCACCAGCGGCTTGGGTGCTGTCCGCATTGTCATTTTTCCGGGCGTTCTCGGTCTGAGGGGCAGGAAGAGCGGCGTTTTGGACAGGTTCCGAAGAAGAAACTGTGGAGGTGTGCGATTGTTGCTGGAGTTCTTGAGGGGATTCGAGCGTTGCAGATGGAGCTTCGTCCTTGATCCCTGGTGATGCAATGTCCGACTGCGGAGGGTGAGGGTCGTTAGAAGACATCTCGAGTGCGTTTCAAATCGCCGTTCACAATCGAATCGCAGGAATTAGAGGAGAAGTGAGAGAATAGCAACGTCAAAGAAAGAAATGAAAAACGATTGGATGTGCCTTCCGCGGACTTAGGACAGGGTCCTTGAAGGGGGGAACGGCTGGCGAGAAAGTCGCTTTAAACGAGGCGTGGGAGGGAGGCAACCGACGAATACATTCAAGAACTCGCAACCGAAAAATACAGAGAAGAAGACGCAGAGATATCAATAGATAAATAAGAAAAATAGAATTATAGTCGTGCGGCAAAGCACTTGCGTAAAGGAGGAGACGTAAAGGAGGAATCACAGAGGTGGAGTCGTAGGAGTTGGAGGACTACTTGATAGTAGTCTCAGCAACAGGACAGACGAGTCAGGCAAGGATGAGGAGGGGAAAAGCAAACTAGAACACGCAAAATTGGTCAGAGGAGTAGATAGCACCAGGACAACTGGGTGATGGGTTCAACTAGGAGTTGGTGCTTTGACTCTTGGTTTGATTGTTGGTCTGGCCCACGGTCGCAACCGCAATTTGCCTCCTCTGAAACTCCTTAAAACAGAGGGGGACAGATGTTTCCCCGTGTAGGTAACGACAGTCAAATCTCAACCAAATTATCAATGATTCACAATGCAGAATGCCACAGAGAGTTTGGAAAGTGAAATCAACTACAAATGTTTATCAAACAACCTATTTTTATTCTTCCGTTTGTTGTTACAAACAACCGACTACTTCGTATTTTGCGCGCAGGTAGAATCCCGTCATCACCGCTGATCATGGTCGCATGCGGAGAAGCAATGTGATCTGCTCCCGGAACTCGAGATTCATGCTAGTAAGGTAGCGAGTAGATATACGCAGAGTAACATAGAAGTGTTTGCGCTTGCCTAGGCTTACCTCGCAATCCTTGCATTGCATAAGATCTCAACTTCGTCGGGGTAATGCGTCATTCGGATAGGGGACCCACGGGTATCTCCACAACTGACCTTTGATGGAGACGACCTAGTAAGAGAGCATCAAGGCAGTATCTCCATCTGAGTACACAGTTTGACTGAGACTCTCAGGACTCTGCGAAGCCCTTTTGTGTAAGAATTACTCTGTATGCCTCCGTCGTTTGTTTCTGCATACCAATTGCGATGTAGCGTAGTCGTGCATGAATATGCATAAAGCACCACCGCCCTAACCCACTATGCCTATGATGTCTCCTGCGCCTACTACAGCACCTATGTTAGTAGTTATAACGAACGGGTGAGGGAGCTCATGGAACCCAGTAATACCTAAGGAAGTGTAATGTATAGTTATATGCAATATATATATTGAGTGTGAACTCGCTCCCCCTTGCGATATGGATGCATCCGAGGATGGATGGCAAGAGCTTATTGGAATGTCGCTTGAATACAATCTGATCAGTGATTTGTGATTCTCCAGCGTCCAGCATCTCCATCGAGATCAAGCCATTGAGCCATAACTTGTTGTATGAGCAATACAGGAGGACAGATCTTGATGAGATATCAGCTGTCCCTTCTTCCATTGTCCATGTGTCAACACGACTCGACGAATGCTTTCCTTGATCTGTCTTGTATAATTCGATACATGTCGCTAGGGTCGTTCCTCGACTCGCGAAATCTGTGGTTCGTCCTCTGGGCTATTCGAAAGTTCAAGTACATGCGCCTCGAGGATGGCCATCTTGATGTGAAGGCATGTGTCACAGTCTGATGGTTCTCTGTGTGGTTTACTCGCGCGTGCCATTATATCGACAGTAAAAACAAATTCTGGCTTCTGCCTCTCTCTCTTTCAGAGCTTAGTCTCAATGGCAGGGATGCTGAACGCACTAAGGAGTTACCAAGACATGTGATTCATTGAACCAGGAGACTGTGCGGACTTTCAAAGTCTGATATCTTGTCTGCAAGCGGTAGTGTACGTTACTTGTTTGGCCACTGGAGATGCAGAGCGCGGTTGGCGACTTTCAATAAAATCTTGAAGCAAATGTCATATGGATTGCCGAAGACTTGAGAAATATATCTCACTAGTCATTATGCAACGAGTTGTCGGATTCGATGCTCTCTATATCGAGGATTCGCCATTTCCAAGGATGTTTAGAATACAATCCGCCTGTCCGAGAGTGCCAGGAGCTATATCCGTAACATCTTCTATGGTCGTGGTTCTCACTGTAGAATAATCTTAGCATCTATCGTCATAGACGAGAAAGATATTTTCCCTGATGGCAGTTCTCTCGAGGCTCCGCTTGGCCAAATGTCTTATTGTGGTCGGTTGGCGTTTTCGGGATTACCTTAACTGCGACACGGTCATGAAGATGTAGAGATGGCTACCAAGCTAGAATTACTGCCGAGAGACAATCGTGACGGATAGGAAAATAATATCTCATCATTGCAGGTGATCAAGCCTCTTGAGCCAAGATCACAACAACTTTAAGAAACGATATTTGAACATCTGTGATGGAGTCAAGCGATTCGGGCCGCAAATGCCTGAGGCTAGCAAAAGCTGCTCTTCTGACCTCCTTAGATGCAGCTAACCACCAAAAGGCTGCGAAGAAACTCGCACAAATTCAGAGAAGCTCCTGGACGATGTCGTTCCTCAAAGCCACCAAAGTTCTATGATTTAAATCTCATTATCAAGATCCACCATCTAATTACATGGATAAGGGAGATATGATGTCCAAAAATAGTAGACGTAAAGATAAGAGCTTCCTGGAATCTTATGGTCTGGATACCATGTGGTCCGAGCGGCTAGCGTTAAACACCCCACAATTCGGCAGGCTTGCCGGCCTTGCCGCACCTGGGGGAGAGCTAGATAACCCTTATCACTATAGCCTCCTCCTTTAATCATTATTTCTTCTACAATTTCCATATAATCATGTTTATAGTATAGTCTCACTTCCTTTGTAACATATACTAGTTATGCTCTGCTCAATATAAAGGAGAATGGATTGTTCACATGGGTTCATTCACTCTGCACCTAATAGCGACATCACTCATCCAGGTACAAAAGCGAGTTTTTACTTGTTTATGCTGGCAGTGGCTCATGATTTGCGATTATCAAATCAAACGATGCGATGTCACCTGCACACTAATAGTCTTCTCTTTTCTCCTTTTACTTTCTCAGTAGTGACATGACAATCCCCTTCTTTCTGCGCACTCCTCGGTACTACAAAGCAATAATCCCACGGCTCTGCCAATCGATCGTTCCAAATAAGCTCTCCGGGATAGCCTGCCCACGGTACCAAGCTCGTGGTTACACAGTACACGGTAAGCCCAACAATTCTCGACTGATATTTGATGTAATATTTTGAATTTTACCCCGAATTGAAGATTGACTGAAAGCAACACTGACTTTGGTCATGTGTTCAAGAGATTTAGAATCATCAGTTTAACACTTTGAGGATTCCTGTCTCGAAGGATCTTCAAGAGATCACATCACGAACAAGCTCATTTGTGTTCTTCTACTCCTTCGACGGTGAGATGGAGTCTGCAATTGATATGTACTGGTTTCACAATGACACCCCTACTGTCGTGACTCAGTTACTTCGCGACTTGGACAAGAAGAGGAAACTGGCTATTGTGTTGGAACTGACCGAACCTGCCTTTTTCCTGCCTGAGTCCACGGGCAACAGGCCTGTTGTGCTTCGTGGCCGCTGCACGTTGATTGTAAAACGGCCGCTGAAAATCAAACAGGTCGTGGTGGCCCTGGATGGTTTTTCGTATATCAGATGGCCCAATCGTAAGAACTGACATTAGCCTCTCCCTTATACTCCATGATGGCTCTGCTGACTAACATCGACTCTTGGGGCAGGGATTCGCGAAATGGGAAGCATTGTCAATTGTCCTTTGACACTATTTAATTCGAAGAAGGACTCCAAGACTCAGTTCCAGTATCAGGCGAAAGAGCCCGAGAAACCCATCACAGAAGTTGAGGCGCCGCAGAAGAGATTCAAGATGCTGCGCAACATGGTTGACAAGCTCCATCTACGTTCCCCGAGGACCGACCCGGATGTCAACTCCAAATGCTTTTCACCTGGAAAGTACTCTTATGACTTCGAAATGATACTGCATTCCGACCTGCCCGAATCAACATTCGTTGAGGGAACGATAGTTCGCTACCATCTCAAAGCCAGCGTCCAGTGTCACTCCAAGCTCCGGGGAATGTACAAATCGACGGAGGTTGACGCTGTTCGCTGCCCGGCCGATGCCTACGTCGAAGACTCCGTGGGCGGCAATTGGTCGCTACATGTTGACGGCGTTCTGCATGTGGACGTCACGCTTCACAGGAAAGGAATCGCTTTAGAGGATTGCCTTCCCGTTTTATTGAAGTACAAAGGATACAATGGCACCAAGTTTCGCAAACTTCACGTCTTTCTGGTTGAGGACGTCAGATATTATATGCGGGATGGGACGCGGGCCGGTAAGGCTCCTTATAAAAGGCGTCTCTTACATGAGTCACGGAACAACGACCTCAGACCGGAAGTGCACTGGCAACAAGAGGGCGAAGTCTCTGAAGAGGAGCTCGACACATTTGAAGCAAAATCAACAAGATTCCCTATGTCTTCTAACAACTGTGACACTCCAGACGGCGATTCTCTTCCTCCGAGCCAAACGGTTGACCTCGACATCAAGCTAAATATGCCTAAGTGCAAATCGCATAGAGGCGCTCCAGACTGCAGGTTTATGCACTATGACACCAAACTTCGGAGCGTCGAGGTGACGCACTTCTTGGAGGTAAGACTAACCTGATCAAAACTATATTTTCCACATCCTGCTTTACCTTCATGACTGCACTGCTTTGTATGCTGTGGTCACAAACTGTCCCTTTTGTATCAACAAGCCTGGTACGAGCTGTCTTTAATCTGACTATCTGGATACAGTTTCAGGTGTATGTTTTCATCAATGGCAACCCCGCTACAAAACCTTTTGAGAAACTGGTCCCCTTGACACTTCGCTCTTGCTACGCGCAGGAGGGGAATACCACCTTGCCAGGATATTTTGAGGAGCGTTTGCCGGTCTACTCATCTCTTCCCTCGGATGCCCCAGTGTCGACTACTGATCATGATCATTGATATGTACTGACTTGGATTTTCTCCACTCGCCGCGCTGGGGCTTGTCTCCGTTCCAATTCACATCATTCTCAGATCGGTATGCCCATCTTTGTATCTGCAGTGGGCTCTGAGCGACCTGTTCCCGGCTGGACAAGGCGACGACAAGTTGTGCTCATTTCCCCGTCATTTCCGGCTAGCATGGCGTCGATCTTCCCCATGTTGAATTGCGAGCATCTTCCTGAAGCGTTGTACAATCTGGACCTCGGGGACTAAACGAATTTCATTTGCCCATCTCAGATTCCTTTATCGTCTGCATACTTGTGTTGCAGGGTGACCGGTTCACTCTTGCCTCAAGTCTGCCTCATGTATGCCTTCAGAATCACTGATTAATAAGCCAGTTGAACGAATGAAACCGATGAAATATCGGAATTAATGACCGTAAGAATCTCCAATACCAAGAACATCCAATGACAAGTTTATCAAAGAATTGAGTTTGCGCAAACCAAGCTCGGAAATCATGGGTTCCTCGACTGTCGTTTGCGCGGTTGTGGGTACTTAGGGCTTTCATCCGGTGGGTAGCAATTACATCATTTTCTCCTCTGTTTCTCCATCAGAACCAAACACACTTTCTCCTTCTCCAGAGATTAGCTACCAATCCTCAAAAAAGAAAAGACATCATCAATACATCATGAGCGGTACTATCCGAACTGCAGTTGTACTCAAAGCGCATTCTGCTCAGGCTCACTTCGAGGACGCTGAGCAGAAGCATTTGACTAGAGTATGCGAGGGATCCATGATCTGCTGCAGCTCTCCTGTACTCACAAGCTGATACTATGCCAAAGATGAGATCAACAGAGGAGAGGGTGAAAAATGAGCAGAAAGAGAATGAAAGATTGACCAATCACCTCTCTATTGAAGACTGACCCACAACCATGGATAAAGAATCCATGCAGATCTTGGGAAAGCCTATGGCCTTACTTTTCTTCCATTACCGCATGAGGAAACTCGGTATCGAACTCTATGACTTACTCACTTTGACTAAGCGAACGATGTCCACTCTGACTTCATAGTTCATGTCCATATGCCAGGGTAACTATTTCTATGGGTCTGCCTCGCGCGGGTGCTCAACTGTTTACATGGATTCATTCACACTGTGCTTGAGTCGAATGATTACCGATTCGTCACCATGGCGCCGCCAACTTTTGCTGGTATGTCCGGGCGGAAACTGTCCTGGACTGTATCAACCATTGCGACTATGGGGTTTTTGCTGTTTGGCTATGATCGTAAGTAGCACGGGCTGATTGATTGATCCATGCTAACAGAGACAATGGCAGAGGGTGTGATGTCTGGCATCATCTCCGACCCGGCATTTAACAACATCTTTACAGCAACCAAAGACGACAACACCATGCAAGCGACTGTGACAGCTGTTTATGAAGTCGGTCAGTACTAATCTGTGCCACTATGCACCGCGGAACCTAACCCAGTTCACCGCCGATAGGTTGTCTGTTCGGCGCTATCTTCGCCTTGATCTTCGGCGAGATCCTCGGGCGCCGGAAAATGGTCATCTGCGGCGCATCGGTGATGATCGTTGGAGTGATTATCCAAGTCACGTCATTCCCGGACTCACTTCCTCTGCTCCAGTTCATCTTCGGTCGTGTCATCACAGGAATTGGCAATGGAATGAATACGTCAACCATCCCGACGTATCAAGCCGAATGCTCCAAAACGAGCAATCGAGGTCTGCTGATCTGCATCGAGGGAGGCATTATTGCTATTGGGACCATGATCGCCTACTGGATCGACTTTGGCGCACACTACGGGCCATCAGACCTGGTCTGGCGGTTCCCGATCGCCTTTCAGATTGTTTTTGGCATCGTGATTATCGTGGGCATGCTGCATCTCCCTGAGTCGCCACGGTACTTGATTGCGCAGGATCGTATCGCGGACGGCGAGAAGGTCCTGGCCGCGCTAGCAGGTACGGGGATCAATGATCATCATACGCAGCTGGAGAAGCATTTGATCATTGACTCGGTCCGAGCGTACGCCCCCCTACTTCGCACCTCACATTTTTCATAGCTGACATGCGGCCCAGTTCCGGTGCCGAAAAAGCCAGATTCAGAGACCTCTTCACCGGAGGACCATCGCAGCACTTCCGCCGGATGATTGTTGGCTCGTCCTCGCAGGTTTTCCAGCAGATCTCCGGTTGTAATGCAGTCATCTACTACTTGCCGGTCCTCCTGGAAGACTCAATCGGCCAAACGCACGACTTTGCTCTGCTCATTGGCGGCGTCAACATGATCTGTTACGCGATCTTCGCAACATTCTCCTGGTTCTTCATCGAAAAGATCGGCCGGCGCAAGCTCTTCCTCGGAGGAAGTTTCGGCCAGTGCGCAGCGATGATTATCGTCTTCGCGTGCCTGATCCCTGGCGACGCGCAGACAGCCAAGGGCGCAGTCTTCGGTCTCTTCCTGTACATGTGGTATGTCACCAACCCCTGCTCCTTTCCTGACCCCAAAGTTCCCCAATTTGTACTGATGTCCAAATCAAGTTTCTTCGGCGCGACCTGGCTCCCCCTTCCCTGGCTCTACCCCGCCGAACTCTCCCCCCTCAGGACCCGCGCAAAAGCAAACGCCATCTCAACCTGCAACAACTGGCTCTTCAACTTCACCGTCGTCATGATCACCCCCGTGATGATCGAGCACATCGGCTGGGGCACGTACCTCTTCTTCGCGGCCTGGAATGCCTTCTTCATCCCCGTCATCTGGTTCTTCTACCCCGAAACCGCGGGCCGGAGTCTCGAAGAAATCGATCTGATTTTCGCCAAGGGCTTCGTGGAGAAAATGAACTACGTGCGTGCTGCGAGGGAGCTGCCGCGGCTTTCGGACGAGGAGATCGAGGCCAAGGCCGCCGAGTACGGGATTCTGGACAATAATGAGAAGACTGAGGAGAGAGTTATGGAGAGGGATCCGGCCGCGACGGCGGAGTTTTCGTCTTTCCAGCCTACTCAGCTATAAACCGGCTGGACGGGGCTGTGTTCTGCGAATGACATGATTAATGATTTATAGTCGATGAATTTGGCGTCCGGTCACTTTGAGGCGCTCCTTTGAGGTGTACTGACGGCGTGTTTTGGATGTCTGATATCAATGCTGAGAATGAAGGTATCGGAGTCTAGATCTCAGCTCCTGTCCGAATAGGGAGTTATTGATGATAAAAATTTCTTCGCCGATGGATCTTCATGGTGGCTTCCCGTAGAATAAGCAGCTTGCTGCTGCTAAAAAAGAACGTAGACTATATGGGTCTCGACCGCTAATTATGCCAGTCTTGCTCTTCTGGCACGGTCAGTCCAATGAGTCCAATTGTTAGGAGCTTAGGCAATAATATGATGATAAAATTGAAATCTTTGCTTCACGCTTGAGTAATACCATCGCGATCACGCTCATGCTATGCTATTTGTCATGCCATCATCATCCATCACTAGCTAGAGGTGACAAAGGAGTAGTCTACAAGATCAAAAGCATCCAGTCGATCTTATAGTCACTTTTCAAGGAAGCTTACCCCTACACCCAGCCAGCATATTGGTCGAGCATCTCGTTCTTGACTCCCTCTGATCCATGGCGGACTCCAAGAAGCCTGACGTGCCCAATCTTGCCTCCGAAATCATCCTCCACTTTGCTCTCCCATGTCTCAAAGAAAGCATTCAACCTGTTGATCACTTCCGGATTGTCTTGAATGAGCAGCGCAATGGCGTCGTAGCCACCTGCTCCTGGAACCACACCGCCAATGACACCTTCAAGCTCGGACAAGGCATCAAGTAGTTCCGTTTGGACGCGCGGCTCGATTGGGACACCAGACTTTTGAGTCATGGTACGGATATGGTTACGCGAGCGCTGAATGTAGGTGCGGACGTTTTCAAACTCACTGAGGCCATGCTCGTCCGGGCTCTGTGCCAAGCGTCTGAGTTCCAGGCGAAGTCTTTCGTTGTTCGATTGCAGAGCACCCCAGAGCATATCAGCCTCCTTCTGATGTTTCCGCCATTCCAAAACCTTCTTCACCATGGAAGGAGTCTGCGAGCCGCATTCAACGTCACACAAGACCATTTGCATTCCCCGGGGGAGCTTCATGCCGAAATCCAGACATTCGGTGTCCCAAGGATGCTCGGGGTCGGCGTCTTCCACGATCGAAAACAACCGCTCTTCAAAGGCTGGAGAGCCAGCGTCACCAATTGATTCGAGGATCGAAGGGGAGAAGCGTCTGTAGAGACAGGAGCCGTAAATGGCAGCTGCAACATCGAAGCCGGACCCGACTTTACCCTGCGCAGCGCAGTGGGCCGCCTGGGCCAGATTGTGAAGCTTGTCGCGGCCTGGGCCGAGGTCGTCCGGCTGCATAGTACGGTGGATGACGAGAGAAGATACCAAAGCAGTGACCAGGGCGGCTGAAGAGCCCAACCCCGTCTTGTGTGCCTCCTGAAGGCGAACACCGAAGTTCACGAATCTGCTTGACGACTGGAGCCCCGAAGCTTTGGAGAAAACCGTCTCGGAGTAGTAATCGTTGTCGGCGAGGATAGTAATCGATAGTGATCCGAAATCCTTAGAGTCCGCCACGTAGCTGATGTATGTCAAGGCGAAGTTCAAAGAGGTCTCGACAAATGGGTTGCGTGGCCTAGATGGGTCAGCTCCTGAGCGCTTGTGGCACTAGAATATTGTTGCTTACCCTTCATTTCTCTGTTTCACTAGGACTCCTCCACCGTTCTCGCATCTTTGTATGCTATACTCCCATACCGCATCCACGAACTGTGGGGAGTGTACGACTATAGTGTCTTCTTCTTCCCTGTCTCCATGAACATTGCCTTCTGCCTGAGGCGCGTCCGACTGGCCCTGCGCCGACCCCGAGGCGTGCTCCCGGCGATGGTTCCTTCTCAATTGTTGGACAATGACATGGATTCTGGCGTCGAGGGCGAACACAGTCCCAGTGTAGCTGCGGTCCAGGACCAGATAACCCCCAGTGAGGAGGACCTTGCCCGGAGCCGACAGGGCCGTTACCGCTGGGGGAAGAGGGGACATAGTGGAAATCAGGAGCTCGACGTCAGAGTTGGAGAGTCGATGAGGGAGATAGGTCGAGGTGTTAAAGTCGGCGGTTCGGTATCAGGGGGTTTAATGGGAGCTAAAGGAACGTGGCGTCAGCATTTCTGCAAGCAAGCCAATTGTTTCCGCACACATGTACGAGACACTATCAAATCGGACATACGTGTCTGACAGAAAGCTTTGTGCAGTGTGTAACCCAAAAAAATTGAGTTGACTCTTCAATCAAGCGCTCCAGATCGAGGGGCAGATCTCAGACCCCCGCCTGACTATTTTGCGGGCTAGACGAAGCAAAGAATTTCAACAATGATCATAGGACGAGTCTGTGAAATTAGACATGACAATGAAGTATATGGCCTGTTCCTGAGGTTTTGTATTAACTGGGTATTGTTTGCGTTATGCATCATGCTTATCAATGCCTGGCGTCGTCCCAATATTAATGTTTTGCTGCTTCCATGCGGAGTTAATCGGTCGTGGCTAGTGTGGACTGTGGCTAATTGTGGCTTATGTTACGGACATTATTCGATCACGCGATATGGATAAGGTCAGAAGGTTTCATTACATGCATACGTTATACTCAGATAGTCTAGTAGTCTAGATCATCAAATATGCGTCAAAACGTTTTAGTCCTTTCCAAAGGCCACGGCGGTTTCCAAGCATTTAACCACCCGACGCCTTCGTACAACAATGCATTAATTTAGGAAGCTGTCCTACAAGAAAACAAAGGCTTGACGTCATAAAGAGAAGAAAGTGCTCTTCGTGAGACCGACGCTCACCACAGAGGGAGCGTAATTTTGTTGTCGTAATCGATATTGTCCGGTTTGGCTTCGACGCGCTCACGGCATGTGCCGAAAATGCGATCCCAAAGGCGTGTCTGCTTGCCATAGTTGTAACTCTTCTTCCAGCCATAGCGGTGGTGGAGATCGTGATCCTCGATGACCAGATCAGCATCGAAGAGCCTCAGAAGCCAAGTCAGCGTCGATGGTGTAAATGTGTGAAGGCGGAGCCCGCTGTGCCCGGCAAGTTCTGAAAAGACCACATACTGGTGGCAAAACCACCACTCATAGAAGCCCATAGGGAGGCCCATGAGCTTGAGGCTGAAATAGGCCATTATAGGAATGCCCGCAATGTCGAAGAACTCCTGCTCACTATCCGCATAAAGCGTCAGAAGCGGATTCGGGTGCTTGGTGAGGTGATGAGTGCGGTGGTATTTCCAGAGGCTACCGACATCGTGCATGAGACGGTGGTACCAATAGAACCAAAAGTCCAGAACGATGCCATAAAGACCAATTTCAAGTGGTAGCCAAACCCAGTTGATAGAGGAAGGTGGTAGGGCGGTCCGGTAGCTCAGGAAGACTGTGATCATCGGACGGAAGGTGGATGTCGAGAGAAGTGATTGAACGACTTTTACGACACCAACGTCAGGTACACCGTCTCGCTCATGCTTGTCGCCGTCGAAAAACCCAAGTCCGTGGCCGAGGCGGCGGAGGATGTGCAACTCATGAATGGCAATCGCCTTGAACGCCGCGCTGTAGAAAATGAAGGCGGCGATTGGGGTTATGTTGCGACCTGTATAGGTAACATAGGCCCAGTGAATGGCAAATGGTATCAGGGCATGAAAGAGGACCCAGCGGTTGGTTTGCCATTCTGGCAAGAAAGGCACCTTGTCGTCTTTGGTGTGTACCGGAACGGCTTGGTCGAGGGCAGTAGGATGTATGCCAAGCACCTCATAGAACCAATGGAACACAGTCCACTGGCCCTTATCAGTGCGCCATGTAGACCTCATCGAGTCTTTGGGATTGCGCATTGCAGTTGCCATCTTGGCCTCTCGCTTGTGGTCCCTCTGTTATATGCTTGTAAGTGGTACTTCATCCAAGAGGGTGGGGTTGGCCGGGGAATGGCCTCTATTTTATGTTTCAGCTCCTGCGTCATGGTCTGAAGCCCAGAAGATCAATGTGGATGCCCTCGGCATGTGAATTAGTAGATCTGTTCATGTGGAGGGAGGGTCTGGGGGACCCTGGTATAAGAAACCAGCACCGCGGCTCTACTAATGACGCTTGTGCAGATCCTCGCGTCCTCAACGAACAGGGGCTGGAGCTCGCAACCTTTGGCTTTTTGGGATCACTGGAACCTTGCCGAACCACACGCGACAGGCGCATGATGTCGATTTTGACTTGTCCTTGGCGTTCATTCGGAGGCACTCTTCTCCGCACCAAGACCTCGGGCCTTTAGACAAGAGTTGATGATGGATCTTATGTCTGGGATGTTTCTACTACGCGATCAGTAGGTATTCTTCCTCTTCTGGATGACAGTCGCCATCATGTCGGGATCTCACCATTATTGCATTACAAATTGCAGGTTCGAGAGGGCTACAAATACAGTTTGCCCCTTATGCGAATCCATGGATATCGCCGCGATACAGTCTAACAGATCAACCATCACAAAGTCATTCTCAGTTAGAGTCCCCCAACAGACAGTTTGTCCATTCTCGGAAAAACTGCCTGCCGGTCCGTGATAGTCATGCGTACCCCAGTTGAGACTCAAGTTGGGGAACTCCGTCGCGTTGCATGCCCAATTGGGACTGGTGCCCCTCAACTTACAGTTACATGATCTGGGTCATATGTAAGTACACTTCGATAAGATATCCACATTCTCTCCAGACTAGCAGTTTCACATGGACAAGGAGCTAGACATTTCCATTTTCCTTATGGTTGCAACTCATTCCCTGGCCGGTCACTGGCGGGCAGTTTGCTGTTGCCTTGCGTCTGGTGTGGTGCTGCCATTGCTCGCTTGAGATACAACCACTTCTCCGTCTGAACTGGCTATTTAACAAGCACAAAATCTGCCATTAAACGAACAGGAGTACTATGGCCGCCTGGAAATGATTACGAATACTAAGTATGCTATCTGTCCTCTGTTGTACCCCCTGAACAATGGGCTCTGGCAGATCTCATCTGTCAGGCGCAGCATACGGTTGAGCACCAGTCTGCCGTGCAAGTTGTAGCATATCGGGAATAAATGATAGGTCCCTGGATGTAAAAGAACATTTATGCAAGATTGGATTCTACATAAGTAGCCCAAACAAGCAATGCCATCGAAAAGCACTGAGCCAAGCATGACACTATGGAAGCCACTGCGGCAGTATCATGCATAGTACTGCAGTGAAACACCGGGTAAGGAGTTTCCAGGCACACTCGAACTCTCGAATCTCCTGTGAATTGTCAAGGTTGTAAAAAGAGTCTCATACGTGTACAGTGGCAGCGATGAAAAAGTCGTCGGTCTGAACAAAGTACGACACTGAGTGCCTCAGGCCAGCACCGGACATAACTCGCGGCTTCGGCATATCAGCACTGCGGGATCCCAGGCACTAAGGAGTAAGGCCGTCAGGGCTGGCTGATAGTGGGGAAGACTGCGCACAGTCAATCGCTGCCATTTGCTCGCAGAGCTCGATCGGCCCAGTCTAACTCCGAACGGAGCCACAAAGCGAGTCAAGAAAATAAGCCGGAATGACGGGTGACTCACGGCTGCTGCGCCCCTGTCAAAACAGCCAGACACTTCCGGCTATCCACCAAAGAATCAGGGACGGGTGAAAACCACCTCCTGCTTTTCCCTAGAATCCCTACAGCCCCAGCGGGAATTGACTCTCTCGCTTCTTCGATTGGACAATGGGTCCCTTTACCCGGGGACAAGGGCGACCACCTGATCATCTCATCGTAGAAAAGTGCAAACCTTAGGCAATGATTTTGGATAGTTTCTCGAAGGCTTCCTCCGCTGACGTTTACTGTTATCCTACGTGCATAATCCCCTTAGTCTCTTCCAGGATCTGATATCAGGACGCGATCTGCCAGGTGTCATCATCAATTTTTTCCCATCATCTCCCACCACATTCTTTCATATTATTTGAGCAGGGCAGTCTTTCCTCTGATTGCCTGCCATTAAAAGGTTCATTCTAAGCCTTGTGGAATCCTTTCGGGACTTGTGGACAGGTGGGACACTGAGCACTGGACTCTTTGCCCCATAAAGAGCATTTGTGCCCCGAACAGGTTTAGTCCGTCTGGATTTGCACTAACCCCTTTGTGGATTAGTCATTGATACAGATCATTTTCGTGTTTTCTCAAATATTGTTTCATTTTCTCTGGGGATCAGATTCTCACATTTTTCACCATAAATCGACTATTACCTCTCTTCGCCATTTTAGGTCTCTCTCCCCTTTATACGCGCGTTCTTTTGGCGACCTCAAGTCGTCAAATGAACCTGCATGATTTCTATTATTTTGATTGCAAGGTATGCTTGATTTGATTCGGTACCTGGCGGGAAAAAATTATAGACGTGTGACTAATCACTATACAGCATTACCTCTTCCCTCTGAAGAGGTCTCCCGCAAGATAAATGGTGTTCAAGCCGTTCACTCACCTCGCGCGTCAGAGTTTCACCAAAGCCTTCACCCATGGCTATGCTCAGTCGGTAGTTGCGGCGTCCCAGTCTTCGTACGCGTCGTCGACAACTTTCAATCAACTTGCCAGTCAACACGCCAAATTCACTCGGACTAGTCAATTACAGAATGTCTTCCAGCCATCAAGTTCTTCGGGTGCTGGTGCCAAGGCCAGCCAGGGTGGTTCGGGGTCCGGAGACTTTGGGTTAGCGGCATACTATGCGGCGTGGCAGCACGCTCAGCAGACTGGCGATGACAGTGACTGGAAACAGTTCCAATTCAAGAAACGAATTGGCTGGAAGCCGACTGGGGACGAAGAACCAGCAAAGGTGAAGGTGGAGGAGAAGGCTACGGACTCTCACCCCGGTCTGCGCGATTCACCACGCGTCACCAAGGCCTCAGCCAATGCCGAAATAAGCGCTCAAGTCGAGGAGGCCGTCGCACGAGAAATTCAGATCCAGGAAGAACAGGCACAGGCTGCTGAGGAGGCATCGGAAGCAAAGGATGAGGGTACTGAGGCATTCCCTGATCTACCGCCGGAGGTTGCCGCCGTCTCAGATGCGACCGCTGAGCAGTCTCGAATTGTTTCAGACCAGATTGTCCAATTAGCCTCGGGCAAAAAGTACGCTGAGATCCCTGCCGCTTTCGAGTTGCTTCTAAGAGATGGCCTCACTCCGACCGTTGGTGCTTACAATGCCTTGTTGGAATCTGCCGTCCGCCTTCACACCGACGTTTCACATGCCATTCCCAAAGCACTCGATGTCTACTCAGACATGCTTCGTCGCAGGGTAATTCCCGATGAAGTCACCTACCGCACACTGGTCGAGCTTTTCGTTACCCGCTCTCATGAGACGATCAAGGCCAAGGAATCATTGGAGCAGGAGCGCCTTCGCTATGGAGGCATGGAAGAGCCTGGCAAGTTTATGCTGCACTCTAATCAGTTGGAGCGCGATTTACTCGCTGAGGACCATTCTCTCGCGATTGCTGTCAAGTTGTTCAACACCGCAACTACTCGTCACGCAGATCTTGTCTTCTCTCTCGATATGTATCGCTATCTTATCACAGCATGTGCGAAAGAAGGCCAAGTTGAGGATATGATCCGTATCTATGCTCACATGGAGTCGCATAAGGTGACACCACATGCGTCTATCTTTCCATCAATGATCGATGCTTTTGCGTCTACCGGTGATCTGACAAGTGCTGTTGAGTGCTACAACGAATACAAGGATCTCGCAATTTCTGACGATAATGGCACGTTCAGCATTGTCCAGCGTTTGGACGGTCAAGTGTACGCTGCAGTGGTCAGGGCTTATCTTTCAGCCGGAAAGGAAGAGAATGCCTTGCGATTCCTTGAGCGCATCCGTGCTTCGTTTGATGAAGTCGCTGAAAACCGTGAAACTCGCCAGGAGGCCGTCGAGTCCGTAATTGTTCAGGATGGCCTTGTGCAGTACTGTCTCAAGTCAGGTGAACATGCAAAGGCATTGGGGCACGCCAAGGAGCAGCTGCGCGGTGGTGCTTTGGATCATGCCATGGCCCGCATCTGCGTCATCGCAGCAGACGCCGGTGATCTCAAGACCGCTTCCGAAGCGTACGGATGTCTCCCCTCAGACGCGACTGTACGTCAGGGCCCCGCTATTGCGATGCTGGCGTTGCATGTGCGGCAAGGCAATGTGGCAGAGGCTCGACCCCTGTGGCTGATGCTAAGCACCGTGGGTCAGGCAACTTCGGATATGGTTCAGCCGACGGTTATGTACGCGGTTGCCTTGGTCAAGAGTGGTCAGGTCGACGAAGCCCTTCTTGAAGCCCGCAATATGTTCGCACGGATTCGCAACTCCTCTGCGGACAACACCGTCGTACTGAATTCCATCCGCGAACAAATTAATGAAAGCCTTCACCTTATCGGCCGTGTCCTCATGCAGACTGCCGCTGTTCTCTCCCCCCAGGCTGCCATGAACCTCATTTGGTCCATGACTGAGAATGGTGGTCTCATCTCTCCCCTTGCTGAACATGCTGTTGCCAGCCTTGGACCTATGGGTATCTCTCAGCTTGCTGCTCCCGACCTGGCGCTCGCCCTCCAGGTCCAAGCTGGTATGCTTCTCAGCAACAACTCCATGGCCTTTGATGTCGCTCATCCCATCCGCTTCTCCCACATGCTTGACATCGCTCTGGCCACGAGACTCCCATTGGATGCTCAGACTACTGGCCTGGTCGATCAAGCCGTCAACAAGCTGTTCAACAGTCGGCCTGATATGGTGAAGAGGTGGCAGGACCATCTTAGCCTGGCGTCCTCCCCATCGTCCTTCCTTTCCGGCCGTCACTCTCCTGTTTCGGAAGTTTCGTCTATGACGCCCGTGTCTAGCGATGACTCTTTCGATCCATATGCATAT